AGAGACCTGTGATGGGCGCCTACACTCGGGGGAACCTGCTTACGTCCCAGTTTCCAGGGTGATGGGGATGCCATGTGCAATGCTCAGAGCTCACAGCATCCTGTTACCAGATGCCAAATCACACCCTTAAAGAAAAAATTCTGACTTCCTTCCTCCATTTCCCATTGATTTGGGAGGGGACCAGTCCACAGGGAGGCCACGACCTGCTGTTCCCAGTAATTTGCATCCACAAAGACTTCATTATGACGCCAGCCCTGGAAATTAGACCTTGGTCAAATGGGACGTCTCTCAGAATAGGACTCGTGAATTCAGAATCAATTTGAGGAGGTTTTAGAAGGCAATGAGAGTCTGGGAAATTAATCTACTTTTGTCAAGGCTCTGACAGATGCACTGGAGGTTAAAGTATGAACAGAGGGAAAGGGTGAGAGAGCGGAGGTAGACGGGCTTTCTCTCCGGGGTGTAGGTCTCTGGTGGAAACGCATCTCCTGGCCATGGCTGAGCACCTGCTGTGTGCCAGGTTGAAGGTGAGGAAGACACTGTTCCACACCTGCAGGGAGCTCACATTCCTTCCCCCTTTCTTCTTTAGTAATAGAAATGTGTGTGTACATGTCTGTGTGTGAGTGTGTGGACTTTTGTGTGTGAGGGGAGGCATCTACTAGCTCAAGGCAGATTCAGGGCAGACTGGTCAGATCTAAGGTAGGACTTACTGGCATGGAGAGGCTCTTCGTCGGGCTTGGTCGAAGACGACTCATTGTCCTCGACATCCTTGCTGCCCATTGCCTGGGTGATCACACTTTGGGGCTCATCTGAGCCTGGGTTCCCGGAGACCATGCTCTGGGGGGAGGACCCTCCACTCGTCCGAGACAGACTGAGGGTCGAGCCCCGCCGGCTTGGTTTGCGGCTGGTGGCGCGTATCACAGGAATTTTGGATTTCTTGGTCTGCAGGAAAGAGAGAAGAGAGGGGGGTTTCCGAAAGAAGGAAGAAAGGACAGAAAGATGGAAGGAAGAAGACGAGGAGGAAGGAGGGTGGAAAGGAGGGAGGGAGGGGGGAAGGAAGGAAGAAAAGTAGGAAAAAAAGTGAAAATCTGGTTCTGAATGTGCCTTCCTTTTTGTTCTTTACAAACACCATGAGACACATGTGGGTCTGGAGAGACCTTCTGTCACAAATCGAGATCATTTATACATGTGTATTATTTGAAGCGAGCGTGGTGAGACTTCTGCTCAGCGAGTACCAGGGTCGCCCAAGTAGTCACTCCAGGAAGCCAAACGAATATCCCCATGATGCTGCCATTGCCCAGAACAGTTTTTGACTTTTCTTTTGTAATAACCATCAGAGTTGATTTTTACACTGTGGGGAGGATGGGTCTGACTTCTTTAGCTGCATCTTGGATTTGTGTTCACTGGGATTTGTGTTCATTTCTGAAGAATACAGGATGGAGAAAATTCTATGAATTCAGGAAGTGGAGGAGAGGAAGGCAGACTTGTCTCACATCAAGAGTGATGGGGTGGTACTCTTGTTTGGGGAGGAGCCATGATGGAGGTGGGCGGGGCTCCTGGACGACGAGTCCTAGAAGGTCAAAAGCGCAGGTGGGGAAAGTCCTGTGAGGGGAATGTGGATTTTTGGAAGGAAAGAGTCAAAGTGGACAGGTTATGTGTGTGCATGCGTGCATGCGTGTGTGTGTCTGTGTCTGTGTCTCCAAGTCTTCGGCTTCTTAACTTGCCCAAGATCACATATCCAGCGAGTATCAGACCCAGGAGCTACATCTAGGTCAGGCCGACACCTATGCTAATTATCATGCCTTGCATAAGAAATACTTTAAGCAATGCCTTTTTCAGTGGCATCGAAATTGCCCTTGATCCCATGCTGATGAGTCTTTATGACCTTTAAAACAGCAGGTTTACAGTGGGGAAGAAGGCCCTTAGCAGCTCCAGAGTAAGAACTCAATACACGTGTGGGCTATCGTGTACACTCAGTTAACAGACACTATTTCATTTGAGAACATCTGAGCTGAAAGCCTTTGGAGGGCAGTTGGAAGTCTTCTTTGGATGAAACTCAGTGTCTGAGACCCTAGGGAAGAAGATAAGGAGAAGAGGTAGCACTGAAGGCCACACAACATTTAGTTAATATCTAACAGGATGGAGAGAACTGTACTATTCAGCAGGACTCATGGTACCTTGAATGTGGGTGGGACTTTCCAGCTCCAGAAGAGGGGAGGGATTTCTTGGTTGCACAGGGCAAGGAGGGGGTGGGAGAAGAGGGAGGAAGGGTGGTGGGGGAACGCTAGGGGGGGTTAACACATAATGTCTCTCTGTGGACCGTCAACATACCTTCAGTGAAATTCTACATAAATGATGGAATGCTTCAGAATGTGATAGCCTGCAGGCAGGGGAGAGGGTGGGGTGGGGGTGGTGGAGTTTGAAGTGGGTTTAACCAGATCTCCAAGGAAGCATGTGAGTTGCAAAATGACTGTGATAGAGAAAAAGCAAAGGCCAAAAGTTGGCATGTCCCCACTGTTGATAAATTAGGAGCTTGATACAATGTCCCCTTTGTCCTGGCATTGCAACTGACAGAGATCCCCTCTGTGCCCTGCCACCCTGGGGAGAGGTGATGGCAGAGTTCGGGGATAAAACACTTAGAAGTAGCCTTTTCCTGTCTCACCTGGGACCATATGAATTCCTGACTCTGGACACCAGACTCCCTCGAGCGATGCCACTTTTGAAGGCTGGACAGATTGTGTCAGAGGCAGCAGTGAGACTTGCAGTGAGCACTGGGCTCAGAGCCAGGGGACCTTGGGGGTCCTTGAGCAAGGCACCTTCCCTTGCCTCCGTTCCCTCATCTGTACAACAGAGAGGATGGGCTGCGGTGATCTCAGAAGAGCTTTCCCTACCCAGAGGTCTGTGTGCATCCTCCTTGCGGTAGGATTTCATCTTGTGCTCCTAAAGTTGCCATTAATTAAAATTCAATTAACAGCCGCAGCCAGGAAATCCAAAGTGAAGGGCTGACACTTCTGATTAATTGAGAGCGGCAGAAAAATAAAATGTGGGGGGAAGATGTGACAGGCAGATTTAGCATCTTGCTTGCCCTTTATTGAGCTGACTCTCTCTGAATCGACTTAAATCCCCAAATGCTTCTTCTCTATTTTGTGTATTTCACTCAGGAGCAGTGTTCGCTAGCAGGGACTGCTTTTTTGGCAACAAAAGGAAAAGATTTCCCTGAATGATTTCTTATACTTTCTTAGAAGCAGAGGTTTCAAACTGGTGGCTCACGGGGAAACATGTGTAGTTGCCCAGAATTTTATAAATTGGGGATATCTTTATATAAAAACTGAGGTTTTTGGTCTCTCTTGAAAATGACAAGCCCTGGTTCCCATCCTGACACGGTGAAATGAATAGAGCTAAGTAGAGCTTCTTTACTTTAGCTGTGCAGGAGAATTCCTGTTTGCCACAGACCTTACCACTCCCTACCATATTATCCAGCCTGATTTTTTTTTCATTTATGCAAACTGCCTGGCTCTTACGATCACTGCCTTGATGCTGACAGGCTTCACATACAGAATAATAACAGTTGGGAGTGGATTGGAGCCTCTCAAAGTCATCATTTTGTAGGTGGAGAGACTGAGGTCAGGAGAGAGGAAAGGACTTGCCCAATGCAATATAGTGAACTGAGTCACAGGGGTTAAATGAGGTCTCCTGACTCCCACCCTCAGAATGGGCCACACTGCAGCCCAGAGTTTGAGCCACAAACTTGCCCCGTGGAATTCAATTCCATTAGAGTTCAAGTGCGGTAATTCACTCTCCCCTCCTCCCATTTTAGTTGTGAATATCCCTGAAGGACTTCTTTTTTTAAAAATTATTTTTTAAGGTTTGTGGCTCCTGCTGCTTTTTCTGTGCGTCTCTGGAGACAGATGCACACGATATCACCATAGCAACTTTCTGTGATAAAAACAAAGGCTCTTCTTCTCAGATTTAGAAGCGCCCTGATGAAAGAGCAAGAAAATTCTGAAACTTCACGAGGGGCAATTATAATCATGAAATACCACAGAGAACATGCTTCTGGAGAGCTCAGTGTTTAATACACAGACCCAGGATTAACTCTTGGCTCTGCCCTTGCCCGGCTGTGTGACCTCATGCAAATCACTTAACCTCTCTGAGCCCTAACTTTCTGCTCTCTTACCTGGAAATGAGAATACCGCCCCATGGGGTAATTAGGAGGACAGAACTGGCTAAAATCACTAAAGAGCTTCCTAGCACACACCCTGGCCTATTGTTGTTCTGCGCAAAAGGGGTTTCTAAAAATTATATAACCACAATAAGACGCAGCATGGTAACATTTTCAAAGTGAGGTGGGTGGTTGCATATTGTTTCCTGAGGTTCTTTAGTCATGTTGTGAAGTGGGCAGAAGCCAGCATTATTCCCATTTTGTGGTTCAGCAAAAATCTCTCAACTATCTTTAGCTGTCTACCCCTAGCATCACTGTTACTATGGCGCTTGTTTTTAAGTGCACGAATTGTGGATACGAATACGAATTTTGTGTCAGGAGGAGTTTTGAGTGAAAAGAACAGACCTCTTGATGTGCTCTTAATAAGAAATACATGTTCTAGTTTGTAGAAAACCCTGTCTTTTGAATCACTCACTTCTTACTTTCTGACTGTGTTTAAAAAAAAAGAGAGAGAGAGAGGCAGAGACAGAGACAGAGAAATGACTGTTTTTGATTAAAAATATAAAGTGAGGTGAGTCCATTTCCTTCTGGAGACATCTTATTAAGCAGATCCCAGGTACTGCTTCTCTTCTCTGTGAAGTGGTGTCCAGCTAAATGTCATTTCTTCTACAATCCCCAGATAACCATTTTAATTACAATTTACAACCCCCCCCCCCCAAAAATCCAACAGCATGAAGTTCTGACTTCCTTTCACTCAGAGAACCAACTAGGAAAAAAATCCCATCAGAGACAAGACTGGCAAAAACACCTCCAACCCAAGTTGGGGCTGGAACACAGCCAGCAGAGTCGCGTGCAGGTGGTTACCTTGGGCGCTGTGACGAAGTGCTCCCACCTCTGTCCAATGGACTTGTCCTTATTAATTTTTTTTATTGTGTTCTTGCTTCCGCCCGGGTCCCTGCGTGAGAAACAGCTTAATGAGTTTTCCCTTTCTGGAGCCTCAGTTTATTACAAGTTCTTTTAAGAAATGCAGTAAACAGATGATGAGTGGTGGCTGGTCTCCGCCAGGATCCTCTCTTAGACTCCAGGGCAGGTCTGCGGTTCCTCCTAGGGCTGAATTGAAAAGCACTTCCATTTCTGAACCTCTGCCTGTGCTGGTGCCTAAGGGCCCCACCAGCAGGGACGCTTCTGAATAACACGCAGAGAGAATGACTGGGTGGGCTTGTGGGGAGCTTGTCGGGTGGGTTACACAACGCAAATCACTGGTTTGGAGTTTATTAAGTGGAAGCTCTACACTAACCTACACGCAAGATGCTTCCCGTGCATTCTCACTGAAGCATCTCAACCAAGCCTTGTGATATAGTCACTCATTCCATTTTATAAATGAGCAAACACACTCTGGGGGGCTTAAGTCACTTACCTAGGTGCATATTTGTAACGAACCTGTCCAGGGCCCTGTACCTAATTTTGTGTTATAACTTTGTATTCTTTTTCCTAAAGGGCCCCTCTCCCCAGTTAAATAAACTTCAGGTCCCACGAAACCTGGATCTTCCCCTCATGGATTGGGAAATCTCTGGGTGTGAGACTAAAGCCCCAGCGAGTTTTGATGGTGACATGCCTACAACCCCTTACCTGAAACCCATGGCACCAGACGTGTTGCCAAATTTGGAATTTCGGCATTTTGGAATGGAAATATGCTGCGTATACCATAGGTTAACATAATCCTTCCAGTGGGGCCCGGGGTGCTGTAATCAGACACCCTGTAATCAGCACCCTGTAATCACACACTTTAATTTTTCTGCAGTGGTATCTGAAAGTTTACGCTAGGTGGGATAAAGACCATGAACAGCTTCAAGTCAAGTTTTGCTCCAGATCAGTTTGGGTCGTGTCAGATTTTGCTGCAAATGAGTTATGGAAAAATGGAGCTTAAGAGAGCCTTTTGGATTTGGACCTTGTGTCTATGTGGATTTCTGCTGAGAAGTCAGCAGGATGACTCAGTGTCTGCTCTCTCAACTACCTTTACCTGACGCTCTATCAATTGATCCATCTATTGATCTCTTCCTCTATTCACCCCTGTCTTTCTTTATCCCCTTTTTCTTTACAGAAAGGATTTTAGAGGGCTGGGAATCCTTTACATCATTTGGTTGGCTGTCACTTAGCGTAGAGGAAGGACTCGAGGGAAAGAGATGGCCAGACCAGTTTGATGGGGGGAGGTACCAGGGGAAGTCTAGACTTATCAGGGGCCGCCAAGTGCTGGTGGCTGGGGGAAGATGCTCAGAGAGGGAGCATCTAGCGGTTCACAGCCACAACTGGAAAAATGCCCACAGACGCCAAGGTGAAAGTTGGGCTGGGGAGGGCGGGGTGAGAATGTGCCTCTGAGCTTCTTGTAAGACTTAATGTTTGATTACACAATAAAAAGCCCTCTGAATAATTAACGGTGAAGCTCATTTGACTTTGGTTCTGCCTGCCTCACTCCCGAGTAATCAAATTAGGGAATATTTAAAATCCAGCCAGAGGAAGGAGCAGCGATACTTTAGTTCTACAAACAATATTTAAACGGGCGGCACTTCTGAAGTCTGATTTAAGGCTCACCAACTGGAAGCCTGAGCGCTTCCCGCTTTGGAGCGTTTCTTTCAAGACCACAGGGCTTTTCTTGCTTTTTCCTTTTGCTAACGCAGCCCCTGCTGTGCCTCCAGCCTTCTTGAACTTCAAAAGCAACCCACCTCCGCCCTTTAAAATTAAATCTGGTCCTGGCCACGCTTTCAAAAATCTTAAATATTCAGACCCAACCAGGAAGATGGAGGCTTTTCCGTTCACGCAGACTTCCAAGACGACCCGAAATCTACTGCGACTTCAAGCAGCAGGTTAAATGAGCTAAAAATGCAAAATGCGAGCTTCCCAGAGATCTCAAAAGGCCCTGAGCATCGCTCTTGCAAAACCATTGATAAAGAAAGGGCCTGGTTAGACAGACTCGGTCTCTCTGATGTTGCATTTTCAGTAGCAAATAAGCCAAAGAGCAGTATCAGTGGCAAGGAGGAAAGAACATCACCCGAGTGTCGTGGTCCACAGCGGACTGACGACACACACCTGGTCCCAGGAGGGCGAGCGAGTCGGCGTTCCTTCCCACCACCTGGAGGACTAGTCAGTGCCGTTCACCCACAGAAAGGTCCCAGGTCTTCCCGGCTCCTTGAAGTCGGGTGTTAGCGCTGTGACTTGCTTTGTTTAAAAATCCATGAGTGAAAGTCACCTGTGGCTCTTAGGGCCAGTGCTCAGGTCGGATTCCCTTTTCTGCTGCGTAGACCAGGAAACTTGTGATGAGATGGAGCTCCAATCAGCACGTGTCCTTTGAGTGACTATGATGAGCAGGATCCCATGTCGATGACATGTAAAAGGGGAGCAAGAAATGAACTTATGTCGCATTAAGCGGCTGAGATTTGGGGCTTGTTCATGACAGCAGCTTAATTTAGCTTACCTAACCCATGTCTCTGTGAGATTTACTGTCTGTGTGACCTCAGGCAAGTCTCTCCGAGCATCAGAACCAGGAAAAGGGGTGTATCTTCGCGGTTAACAGTGGGCTTAAGAATCAGGTGGACCAGCTGTTTGAGCCCTTCACCTGCCCTGCAGCTTCCTGGACATGCGAGTTTGTGTAATGTTTAGCTCCTCTGAGCCTCAGAATCCTTTTCTATAACATGGGGAAATATTAACTAAGCCAGAGGATAATTACAGTGAGGATGCAATGAGGGGGAGGGAAATAGCTCAGTGGTAGAGCACATGCTCGGTATGCTCGAGGTCCTGGGTTCAATCCCCAGTACGTCCATCAGAAGGAAAAAAAAAGATGCAATGTAATGGGGCTTGTTAAGAGCTTGGCAGGGTACCTTGTATAGAGAACTGAGAATAGTTGAGTTATTGACAGCACACTTTTATTTCCGACAGAGATCATGGTGTGGCTTTGAAGGAGGGCTTCATGATGGGGAAGGAGGCACCAGGGCAGATCTGTGGGGACGAAGTGGCTATGATTTTCAGACCATAGTTTCTCCCCACTGAAGCCTTCTGGGGGATTCTATTTGCTAGAAATCAAGGGAAGAAGTCATCAAGCACCATTGTATCTCTTTTAACTGTGCCCACCAAGCACATTTTGTTCCTCGTAGTCACTTGAAGACATCTATCCACAGTGGCAGAGTAATTTTCTCAAATCCTTCACTCTCTCTTTCCGAATCTGCATTTACTTCTCAGGTGGAAAAGCCTGTTGGCTGGTTTAGGACATGTTCACGTGTCCACGACTGAGATGGAGAACAGAGGTAACTGCTGATTTTGCACCAGGGAAGGGACAGAGATGAAAGCTCTCAGGATCTCCCATGCTGGGTGGCTCATCCTACCTCCCGAGGGATAGATGCTCAGATCCTGCCACGTTGCCCCACTCCTGCAGAGATGTCCACCCGCGTACAGGATGGAGGGATGACGCAGTTAAATCAGTGCAGGGAGAACCAGACACTTCACTCAAATGTCACCTTCTGTGTGCGTCTTCCCCTGATGACCCAATTTAAAAGTCGCCCCTCGACCTTGTCACTGTCATATCATCCTGTCAATTTCTTCATGACACTTAACACTATCTCGAAGTATCTTGATTATTATATGTTTATTATCTGTTGCTCCCCCATCTCCCCTAGGATAGAAGCTCCAGAAAGCAGGGACCTTGTCTGTTTTCTTCATGAGTGTATTCCCAGTAGAGCTTGAGAAAAGGTAGTTTTGAGGAAAATGAGACCTTCGGAGTGTAAGGGAGGTGAGGGGGCGGGGTGGAGAGGACACATGACAAGGGGAAAACAACTTAGGTGTAAGAATTGCTATGAAGTGTGTTGTTCAGAACAATGTTGCTTTTTTTTTTTTGTGAGAGTGACAATCTAGCAAACACTCAAAGATCTTGGGGGAATTGCTTAAGTATGTTGATAAACTCCACAGTCATTAAAAGAGGTTTTAACATGGAGAGATGTTCCCTGTATATTAAATTAAATAACAAACATTTAGTTGCAAAGCAGTAAGTATAGAGTGGTCTTTTTCTTAGAAAAAAAAAAAGGAAATTATATATTTATATATCATATGATCTTAGTTAGTTGGGGTCCCTTTTGTGTCCTGGCAAATATTACTTTATAATGAGTTATTC